CACCATTTGCTCACATTTACAATCTATGAAGAAGAACTTCATTTATTTGAAGTTTCCATTGCTTGAGATTATAACTTCAACCAACTACTTATATTTTCCCCTTTCTGATTTATTTATCCATTTTATCGTCCTTTTAAAAATGTTACACTCTACAGTGATTTATTACTACTCTTAGAATATTTACCTGACACTTTAATTCTAACATTTCCCTCCCCACACCTTAATTTACTCTTTTTCAGAGCCCTAGTTTTAAAAGGATTTCTCTTCTAATGAAGTGTTTTTACAAATATGATTCCCTCAATCCAGAAGGCTCTCCTCCACAAATATTCTGCCATAGTGTCCTCCATGCCTCTTTTTAATGGTCATTCTCTCTGAAAAGCTTTTTGATCTCCCAATTTTCCCAACTTGCTTTCTCAATTACCACCGATTTTCTTTATTCACCATATTTTTTGTGGTTTTTTTTTTTTTTTGTTGTTGTTGTTGTTGTTTGCTTGTTTTGTTCTGTTTTTTTGTTTGTTTGTTGTTTGTTTCTTTTTGGTACCAGGGACTGAACTCAGGGGCACTCAACCTCTGAGCCACATTTCCAGTTCTATTTTGTATTTTATTTAGAAACAGGGTCTCACTGAATTGCTTGGCACCTCCCTTTTACTGAAGTTGGCTTTGAACTCGAGATTCACTTGCCTTAGCTACCAAATAGCTGGGATTACAGGCATGTGCCTGCCACCAGCCTAGCTTGGTTTTCTTTTTAAAAAGTTTTCACAGAAGGCTATTTGTTCCCCCTAAGAGCATTTTATTTAAAATATAACTGTATATTTATCACTGTGCATACTTGTCCATAATCTCCCTCAATCAAAGGGATCCATGAGGATAGAGAGCAGTTCTGGTTTTATTGGTGTTTTGTACCAAGCTGAATTCAATGGTGGTAGTTGTGTTCAGCATGTTTGTTAAAGGAACAAATCACAGTAAAAGACAATTAATTTCATTTTGCTTTGTGTTGTATTTTGAGATATAAAATTATCTGTATGATCAGAAAAGTTTTTATTATGTAGTAATTTTTGAGTGATCTAGGTAAGTTAATTTTTTTAAAAAATAAACTAATTACTGCCAGGTGCTGTGGAGCACACCTGTAATCCCAGCAGCTTGGGAGGCTGAGGCAGGTGGATCAGGAGTTCAAAGCCAGCCTCAGCAAAAGGGAGACTCTAAGCAATTCAGTGAGACCCTGTCTCTAAATAAAATATAAAATAGGGTTGGGGATGTGGCTGAGTGATTGAGTGCCCTTTAGTTTAATCCAGGGTACCAAATTTAATTGATTAATTAATTAATTACCCATTAATCCAAATTGCCACACATATTCAAATTGAGAAAAAAGTTGTTTTTGCAAATATCATGGTAGGTAGCTCCACAGTAGCAGGGGTACTGATGAATTAAGTGAAATTTCTTCAAAAAACCCAGAAGGATTTTTTTTTGTTTACCTTAGAATGCATATATACTGACAAAAAGAAATAATAAAAATGAGAAATACCTCATTATATATACTGATATATATTTAAATTATATATATATAATATAATATATAGAGAGAGACATTATATAAAATTTTAAGCCATTTGATTTAAAAAAATTAATGGAGCACACCTTTTATACCTGTGTTCACTTATTACTCATTTTTATTATCTTCTCTTTCTACATGGTCTGCTATAACATTCATGTTCAAAATTACTATGCCAAATTGTTTTGGCTTTAACCAACAGCATTCTTTGTCTTTCTGTGTGGGAGGCTATAACATTATTTTTCTCATGAGTTAAATATAACAATTGTGTGAATTAATGAGCACTTCACTTAAAACACAAGTGACTAAATAGGATTAACAAAATGAAATGCCAGACTATTGTTCAAATTATTCTCTATTATTTGAAAATATTTTAAGTTTAATGAAGACATATTTCCTAATAATATGTTTTGTTTATTATAATCTCCAACATTTTCACATACAGATCCTATGTAGTTATACCTGCAACTATATTAATTAAATATAAATCACCTTTTAAATCACACTGAAGCCATCACTAAAGTTTTAATACATGTGATTTTACTTAAACCTTAGAAAAATATGATCATTAAAAATCTTAATTCTGGAGACAGACTAGGACAATGAATTCTATTCAGAGCATACCTTATGATCATTGTTAATTTTCCCAGGCTCCAGTGAATAAACTCTCCCTTTATTTAGCAGGAGAAAGTATAACTCATTCATGGAACACAAGGAATCATTAACACAGGAAATCCCTTCAATGCCATTGCTATGCTAAGTAAATTTTTCTCGAATTTTTTCAAGTCATGATTGCTTTCTACCTAGATTCATAATCTTAATTTCCTAAGGATATAATAAAGGATGACTCAAAGTATAAGTCTCTATATTACATAATAGGTGACCATGTAACTAACTGGAATCACACTGAAAGTAAGAAATAATCTGAAAAATAGTTTTCATTTAATTATAATAAATGAATATCAAGAGAATATGATTCTGTGATATATTTCAAAATCTTAGGATCACTTAAAACTTCAACCCATCTCTTTTTACTAAGATATATCAAACTCGGTGCTTAGAATTAACCTGTCTTCACTGTCAAGAAACACTGCCTTTATTGCATTTGTAGTTGTCATTGTGATGAAAGAAATAAAAGCTTAATACATTCTAAATCTATGACTGTACAAAATAAATTTTAGGGGAGTAAGGTGTTATTCATACTGATAGGATCCCATAGAATCATCTATTCATTTCAAACAAAGCAGAACAAAACAAATACTAAACTTAAACTAAGTCATTTCTTAGGTGTTTCACTTTCTATTTGCTGTTGTTTATTCATTTTTAAGCTAAGAATAATAGAGGCAGCTGGATGAGATATGCAATTTCCATTTCTTCCTGTCAAACTCAGAAATCATGAAACCATTCAAACATAAGATTTCAATTCTCCTGTAATAACTTTGAAGGAGATAGTCTAGATAGATAGATAGATAGATAGATAGATAGATAGATAGACAGACAGACATACTGATAGAGCAAACACCCATTAATGACAGATGTGGAGCAAATTGATAGAAGAAACATGGATTTCCAAACACAGAGATACTCTGGGCACTTTTCCTGTTGATCAGAATGTAACCTGCAGACCTCAACTTTTCTGAATTAAAACAACAACAACAAAAACAAAACAAAACAAAACAAAACAAAAACAAACAAACAAACAAAAAAAGATACCCCAGCATAGATTCCAGTTGTCAGAATGATTATGTTGTGGTTAGACCCTTGTATCCTATGTGAAAATATAGTGAAACTATGTGATTTTGAATGAAGTGTGGGTTTATAGGGAGGTATTTGTGAGGAAAATTGGAGCCTTTGCTATTTTTCTTAAATCACTGAAACATCAATACATTTTCTTCAATCATAAAAATTTCCAGGCACTTAGGGGCTATTTGTTTTATTGGACCATATATAAAGGTTAGGAGTCTTGTGATATAGATTTTGCCTCTATTTCTGACATCTCATTCATAACTTGTATTTTTGTATAATTCACATATACATGCATACAAACATGCATTTTGCTGTAACAGCAAGAAAAGAGATATGCAGTACATTCTTTAAGGCAAGTTAATTTAATATGAATGACACAATATAATTAGAAAAGTAGAAGCTTTTGAATGAATAAACTACCATACATTAAAAGAGGAAACATGAAAGCATTCTACATTTTCTTATTTATTCACTTTATTTTACTGGATTCATTTTATTTTATTGAGAAAAACACTATGTTTCCATAAGATATTCCTAAGGGAAAATATAATATTTCCATGTGATATTCCTAAGGGAAATCTGTCAGATGGTGTAGGATATTAAACAATTGGTAATACTTCAATAATATAGCTGTAGAAAACTATTTATGAAATTTACCATGAATTCATAAAGTGTTCTCTTTGTAGTGCTGCATTATTCTAGTAAGATGCTAAAAAAAATAAATCAACTCTTTTTTCTTTGAGTATTAATTTTGAAAATTCTGCTATTGTTCAAAAAAGTAATCATTCTTAATTCATATGTAAATGGTGGTTAATTTAATAAGCATTGCCTATTAAAACTCTATTTTCTTGATTCTTATAATATTAAATAAAATGATAATTTAATGATTCAAGGTCATTCGCATTACTAAATAAGTGTCTTTGCTGAATTCAGTTTTCTCAAATTGGCCTCTTTTTTATATTGTAGTTAATTTACAATAGAATGATGGTCTGTCAATATCTAAATTTCCTCAGTGATCTTACTTAGGTAATGTAATCATATAAATCATTCTCCATAAATTTTGTTTGCTCACAAATGTTTTGCATGGAAGTGCTCACTTAATTTTATTTTTTTAAAGAGAGAAAGAGAGAGAAGAGAGAGAGAGAGAATTTTTTAATATTTATTTTTCAGTTTTTCAGTGGACACAACATCTTTATTTTATTTTATGTGGTGCTGAGGATCAGACCCAGCAGCCCTGCACATGCCAGGCAAGCAGACTACAGCTTGAGCCACATCCCCAGCCCTTAATTTGATTTTTTAATCTCCTCAAATTAATAATTTGAATTGGTGCCTTAAAATGATACTTATTTATAATACTATTTACCATCAAATTTTCACAAAATTTTTACAAGATAATCTCCTGTGGTTTGGGAATGCACTTTAGAATTTTTAAATTTCAACCTTTAGCTCTGAAATAGAACTATGACTATAAAAAGTAAATTCACCTTTTTTGGTAGAGTAAAACTGGGATGATTAACTCGACTTGTTTCCCAGGGCATTTCTTTACTCTTTCTTGCAGGAAAATTTAGATGGTTGATGGCTATAAATAGATTATCTACTCAAAGTATTATCATGAAATGAGGAATGAAAGAGGATGAGGATCAGAGCTGCAATTGATATGGGAGGGGAGGGAGAAATGGATTTTTGTTCTCTGAGGATTCTGAAGTGTGTGTGGGCTGGGGCAAGGCATTTAGTTACTGTAGCATAAACTAACCTAACATACTTGTTAAGGCTGTCCATCTAGACTAGATGGAATGAATTCACTTGCTCAGGACAATTTCATATTTGAAATATGTATCATATTTGTTAAATTACTCCTTATCCTACAAAATACATAAAATATATTCTTGCAAGGAAATAAAAATCACATGTATTACAGAAAATAATAGATGTTTATTAAATTGCTAATAAAAATATACATGGCATATAGCAGTGCACTAATTCTTCTGTCCTCCACTTCTCAGTTTATGTATATAACTTGTAAAGAGAAATCATTTCAATTCAGCATTTGCCCTATTTCTTTTGATAGTGAGTGGCATGCCAGGGGGTAGTATAAACTGATATGCATATGGAAGTGAGCATCTATCTTATTGTTGGCAGCAAACTAATTAACTGGCACATATTAAGAAAAAAACTAAACTTGAACTGACTTTGAACTTCAATAAGCTTAAAAGAAGCATAATTTGGTAAGCAAACAGTGAAATTATGACAATGATGAAATAGTTTCACAATGACAGTGAAAAGAAGCAAAAGAATTAAGAAAATCGCCATAAAAGGAAAGGCAATCTGTTTCTTGTATCCATGTCAGTTTATGTTACATCCACAAACAGCAGATTTTTTCATTAGCAAACTTTTGTGATTTTTATTTGGTAGACATGATACATATTTATAAAAAATTTTATAACCTTATCCAACTGATTTATCATATTATGTACCAAATATATTCAATGTCATTTTCCTGAAGGCTTTTCTTTTTGTAAAGGAAAACTGAATTTGACTGATAGTCTGAAGAGGATTTTAAAGCAATGTTAGATGTTAATCTCTTATTTTAAAAGCCACCTTTCTTAGGCAAGATAATCATTTCTTTTAGTAATTCTGCCTTTCATGATATATTAAGCATTGTGCAATTTTCTTTTAAAGAAACTATATCACAAAATTATGGCTTATACAGAACACAGCAACATCAACATTCCATGGTGATCCTATTTATGTTAATTTGAGGAGTTTACTGGTTTTAAAAAACTGTGTAGAAGAAAGATCTTTATTTCTTTAATGAGATGCTAATGGTAGAAGAATCTCACTTCTCCTCTCTCCTGTTTGTGACCATGTTAACATATATACAAACTCATCATTACTCAAGTAAATTCAAAAGTATTATCTCATTTTGTGTTTGTTTGTTTATTTGTTTGTTTGTTTTATTTTGGTACTGGGGATTGAACCCAGGTGTGCTTAACCTCTCAGCCACATCCCTAGCCCTCTTTATTTTACTTTTGAGACAGGGTGTCTCTAAATTGCTTAAGGCCTCCCTAAATTGCTGAGGCTGGCCTACCACTTGCAATCCTCCTGACTCAGCCTCCCAAATTGCTGGGATTAAAGGCATGTACCACCATGCCTGGTTCATTAGAATTTTTTTTTTAATTTGAATGTCTAAATAA